GGGGGCTGGACTTCGACCCTCCTCTCCCTCACTCCAGTGCCCCCTGCTTTTGTGACCTATCCAAACATGTTCTATAAGACTTTTGTTGTTGTTAATTTGATTTGTAGCTTGAACTGACTTCTCTCAGGCTTAATTTTCTCGGCCACATGGAAGAGCCCTGTACAAACTCCTTTTTAGTTTAAAAGGAGTGCAATGAGAAAAATGTTTGCTCATTAAGGATTAGAGTGACGATGGGTTTAACTTGGGCCGGAGCACTCACCCTCCGATATAAAACACCACTTTTAGTGAGTTCACTTTGCCTTTGCAGTATTTTGACAGTAATGCTGAAATGAGGTTTTTGGGATACCAGTAAGTGAATATTTTAGAGGACGTGGGAAAAGGCATTGGGGAGAGGCTGAGGAAAAGAGGAATGAAGAGATTTTTGGCATGTTATTTGAAGCAAACTGAGGTTGTTACTGTGGAAGATAAAATTTTCAGTTCCTATCAGTGTCAGAGGAGAAGTCCTATTTCCCATTGTGGAAAGAGGTTGTATATTATGGTGTCTCAAATCTCTTAGCCTTATTACGATTTAAGGGTTTGCATATTCAACATCCATATAGCAAATGTCTGTTGAGTGCTTTTCTCTGCCAGATGTTGTTCTGTGTTCTGGGGGTGCAAAAGTAAACAACACAAAACAAAATCTTGTCCCCGTGCAGCTAACATTCCACTGGAGGGAGGTGGGGGTGAAGACAGAAAACAATTATTTTTATTTATTTATCTATCTATTTATTTATTTATTTATTAAATATATCTTTATTGATTTCAGAGAGAGGAAAGGAGGGGGAGAGAGAGAGAGAGAAACATCAGTGATGAGAGAGTCATTGATCTAGCCCGCAACCTGGGCATGTGTCCCAACCAGGAATCGAACCCCAATCGCCTGGATCCTAGGTCGATGCTCAACAGCTGAGCCACACCTGGCCGGGCAACTCCTCACCTGAGGATATGTGTTCATTGATATATATATATTTTTTTTTAGAGAGAGAGCGGGGAGAGAGAGAAACATCCATATGAGAAACATTGATCAGTTGTGTCCCATATGCACCCGGACCTGGGATGGAACCCGAAACCTAGGTATGTGCCCTGACTGGGGACTGAACCCGCAACCTTTTGATTTCCAGACAGTGCTCCAACTAACTGAGCCACCCGGTCAGGTCACAAAAAACAATTTTTAAAAATTAATATATCCAGTCAGATGGTAAGAGTTGCTAAGAAGACAAATAAAGCAGTGAACGGGGTTAGGGAGCACCAGGGAAGGAGCAAATGCAGTTTTGAAATAAGGAACATTGTCATGGAGAAGACTCTTGAGCAAAACCTGGAGTGCAGGACAGCCATGCAGCTCTCTTGGGGAAGAGCACACTGGGCAAGTGCAAAAGTCCAGAAACCGCTGGTCTTAGTGGAGGACGAGCAATGAGGCCAGCGAGTTTGAGCAGAGTAAGGGATGGAGGGTGGCTTCAGAGACCTAACTGGTCCTGGTGAAGACTGTCTTTTTCTCTCACTGGGGAAGAAGGTGGGTGAACGGTTTTGAGCAGAGGAATTAGGGGATTCGACTTAAAGTTTTTAAATGCTCACTCATGCTTTAGAATCAACTGCAAGGATAGAAGCAGGAAGACCGGTTAGGAGGTTTCAGTAATCCAAGTGGGGGCTTAGACCTGGTGGTAGCAATAGAGTAGGAAGAAGCCGTCATCAGCCTTCAAGATTTGCTGATGGATTGGATGTGGAGTGTGCCAGTAGAGTGAAGCACAGCTCCAAGGCCTTTGGCCTGAGCTGCTGGGAGAATGGAGCTGCTGTTCATTGGGGAAGGCTTGAGGGTGGAGGCAGATGGGGATGTGGATGGAGCGAGAAATAAGAATTTAGTTTTAGACGTGTCAGGTTTGAGATCCCTGTTCACATGGGGTCATTGTGAGGCTGGTGTTCAAGGGACAGGTCCCAACTCTCAATAGAAATTTGGGATTCATTAGCAAATAGATAGTATTTAAACCATGAGATTGTATGAAATCTTGTCTAAAGAAATGAAGAGTCACCTTTGGTGCTTCCCATTTTTATAGGTTGGAGAGATTAAGAAGCACATAGACGGAGGAGGAGAAGCCTTTAAGGTGGGAGCGTGGAGTGCTGGAATCAAGTGAACAGAGAGCGACAAGTAGAGAAGGAAATCAGTTGTGTCTCCTCCTACTGATCTGACAAGTCTAGTAAGGTGCGGACTGAATACAAAATAATCTACAAGGTGTATAGTATATTTACACCATCCTGATTGTGGATACAGACTCTTTTCTTGGTCTTTGTCATATATTTTTTCTATAGCAGATACAGCCATTGATTGCATTGTAAGGATTTAAAGTGATTAAATAAAATATTTTGAAGTTTAGGGTTTTATCTATTGATTTTTTAATATCCCTTTTTTATCTGGAAGATGAAAAGTCCTTCAGTCTGTAGATGGAAATCTTTTTATCAGCTGAGGAAATTGTTTAGTTGGTACCTTTTGTTTTCTTCTTTTATCCCTCTAGGAATTTTTCATGGTTTGTCTCTGCTCTCTGCTTCTCATAATCATCTCCCACATTCTTTTTAACTTGTATCTTTTGCATAGCTTCTGAAGTTAGGCCTCTCTATCACCGATCTGATTTTCAGAGATGTTTGTTCTGTTCCTTACTGCTTACAATTTGGATGATTTAAAATTCTTTTTATGTTTTTATTTAACATAGTCTATTTTTAGTAATACGATTTTTCCCCTCAGTCTGAGTTCTTAATTTTTTGTATATTCCCAAGAGTAGTTTTTTTTCTGGATTTAAAACAATTTTTATTGTAAATAATTTTTCATGGTGTGTTTTTTTCTCTGTGTAGAGCTAATGAACCTCTTCTCTTGTCTGGTGCAGAATTTTTTCATTGACTCCATGTTGACTTTCTTTTGTTATTCATCTCTCTTTTTTTTTTACTATATCTTTATTGATGTCAGAGAGAGGAAGGGAGAGAGAGAAAGAAACATCAATGATGAGAGAGTCATTGATCAGCTGCCTCCTGCACGCCCCCTCCTGGGGATCAAGCCCGAAACCCAGGCATGTGCCCAGACTGGGAATCAAACCTCCATCTCCTGGATCATAGGTCAATGCTCAACCGCTGAGCCACGCCGCCTGGGCTGTTATTCATCTTTTAAAAATGAAAGAACTTTTGAGATTGTCACTAAACAATTGACCCTTGAAAAACGGGTTTGAACTGTGTAGGTCTACTTATATGCAGATTTCACATTTGGAAAACAGTATTTTCATATTCCCAACTAGGGTTTCCCAACAGCAATACTGTTTTCCATCTGTGTTTGGTTGAAACAGCCGATGTGAAAGGCTGACTATAGTTAAGTGTTTGGGGAGTCAAAAGTTATACATGAGTTTTTGACTTCGTGGCACCCCTAACCTGCGTTGTTCAGGGGTCAGCTGTATACTATTGAATTTGTTATACCAAATTTGCTCAGTACCTTTCTACTAAAGACTTTTTCTAGATTTCATACAAGGAAAATAATTAAAGAGTTGTATTTTGTGTAGGCATTCAGTAAAGGACTCTGTTGTGGTGGTTTTAAAAGATTTACCTATTTAAAATAATTTTCATTATTAGAACTTAAGTTTTTGGTTATACCTTTGTAATAAAGTTCTTGTTTTCCAAACCAGTAAACAAACATAAGAACGATCAACTTAACTTAAATTTTATATAAAAATAAAGTCAGTGACAAAGGAATAGCTAATTTCCAAATTCAATAGATGCTTGTTCCTTTTTCTTTTTTCCAGCTTTATTGAGGTATTATTAACAGATAAAAATTGTATATATAGGGTGTCCTCAAAAAAATGTATACACACACTTTGAATAATTATAAAGGCAGTGTTTATTAAAATACATTTCATTTTCAAAATTGAGCTATCAGCTGTTAAAGTGTGTATACATTTAGATTCTATAACACAGGTTTTTAAAAACATGTATAACATGATAGATTGTGAAATGATTACCACAATCAAGTTAATTAACACACCCAACACATCACATAGTTACCTTTGTGTGGGGGTGGGGTGGGTGAGAATCTTTACTCAGAAAATTTTAAATATGCAATAGAGTATTATTAATTACAATATTGTGCTGTACATTAGATCCTCAGAGTTTATTCATTTTATAATTGAAAGTTTATATACTTTGACCAACATCTGTCCATTTCTCTTACCCCTCAGTCCCTGGCAACCACCATTCTACTTTCTGGTTCTGTGAGTTAGGCTTTTTAGACTCCACATATAAGCGGGGTCATGCAGTATTTGCCTTTCTGTGTTTGCTTATTTCACTTAGCATAATATCCTCCAGGTTCATCCATGTTGCAAATGACAGGATTTTCTTTTTTTTTATGGTTGAATATTATTTCATTGTGTGTGTGTATATATATTCCTTATTATTTATAATATTATTTATTAAACAACACTTAGGTTGTTTCCATATCTTGACTAGTATTGTGAATAATACTGCAACGAACATGCAGAAATCTCTGAGGAAGTAATATATACTTTAGTTGCACTTGAAGCCCAGGTAGACCACAAGGTGGCACCATTAGGCCATACAAATAAATGTGTTGCTGTATTGAGTAAAAACTTATTTTCTTAAAAAAAAATCAAATAACTTTTTACAAAAGTACTATATGTGCATGAAAGACTTTAGATTGACCTCCCAGTGCTGAATTTAATGTCTTTATTGTATAATTGCAAGTTATAAACTGGAAATTTCCAGTGGGAGGAAGTCCCTTGCTAAGAATTTTAAACATGGTAAAATTACACAGTAAAGATTTTGGAAAATACTGAAAGATATTAGAATAAAATAAAATATCCAAGATGACCAGTATTCCCTTTGTGAACAATTTTGATTTGTTTTAAGCCAGTGTCTTTCTAAAACTTGAATTGTAACTAAATTTTAATAATGCAAACAAATAATAAAGTAATATAAGTATTGCAGAAAATACATATCAGAAATCCTTTTTTGGTGCTTTCTGATTTCCTGATGGAGAAAGACAATTTTAGGCAAGTGTTTTCTTGCTAATTCAATGAGTAAGAAATACTTGAGAATAATGAGTCCAGGAATTTAGTAACTTCCTGTAAAGTAGAAAACATTTCCAAATATTTTATTACTGTTTTCTCATACTTTCAAAAATTTACTTCCGCCCGGCCGGGCGTGGCTCAGCGGTTAAGCGTCGACCTAGGATCCAGGCGATCGGGGTTCGATTCCCGGTCAGGGCACATGCCCGGGTTGTGGGCTGCAGCCGATCAATGACTCTCTCATCATTGATGTTTCTCTCTCTCTCTCCCTCTCCCTCTCCTTTCCTCTCTCTGAAATCAATAAAGATATATTTAAAAAAAAAAAAAATTTACTTCCTGTGAGATGATTACAGAGAGTTAATTCAGAATATATGAGCTGAACTGATGTTTTCTGTAAAGTAAGAAACAATTCCAGATATTTATTGTTTTTCCACAATTTAAAAAGAAGTTTATTTTCAATAAAATAATTATAAGGAGTTAATTCAGAGTTTGTGGACCAGAACTAATGTTTCCCTTTATGTAATCTTTGATGGGAAGGTTTGCTAAGCTGATTTATTATATAAAAAAGAATCTTATAAAAACAAACTTAGTGACTTAATTTTTTTACACATAAAATGAGGATAATAATAGTTTTTACCTTACAGAGTTTTTATGAAGATTAAACCAGTGATTACAGGAAAAACACTTAAATAGTGCCTGAAGTATTATAAGAAGACTAAAGAAATACATTATCAATGTTTTCGAAAGGATTAAAATTGTTAAAATTCTTACTTGATCAGAGCTAGATTTCTCATAGATAGGGTTTGTCCTTGCCAGTATCTGTGGATCTGCACAGTGCTCAGGTTTTAAGAGCAGTAATTTTAAAGTGCGAGCAGTTAGGATTTAATGACTTCATTGGAAGTTCTTGTTTTATGGTTCTTTGAGGTTATTTTATATTTTAAAGTAACCGTATCCTTTTAAAAGAATAAGAATTAACCAAGTGAGGTATAGAGAATCCAGATTTTGGGGTACCATTTACTGTAGTATATCATTTTCAGTTTCAGTACTTTTCTTTGACATTAGAAAATGTAGGTAATAGGTGTGATAACGTCTCTCTCCAGATATGCCATATTTCCTTGCCTTTTGCTGAAATGTCTGGTGTTCTGATCTCTGATTAAAGTTGCTATGTTGGCATAACGTAGTCAGTCCATTTGAACCAGGAATGTAGTACTTAGTCTTGCCTTTCCCAGTGACCTTTCAAAATGAAAAATAAATCAATACATTATATATAGTTGGTGATATTGGATATAGAAGACCAATTTAAAGTTACAGTATAATAAATATATGTTAAAATAGAACATGTGTTCTCCATTAGTTCTTAACCATCAAGATTACTATCTTTAAGTTGTGCAGATTGACCTAAGATTAGCATAAAAGAAAAATATAAAGAAAAAGAATATTAACAAGAACTAGCCATTAAATCAGTGACTCACAAGCTTCCACCAAAATCTCCTTATTGTTTTGTTATTTGGATTGAGACAAGCATTATTTAGTGTTAGGAGTTCTTGTAACAGTTCTGGGTGACTGCCTTGTCCCAAAGGATGAGTGACTCCATTCTCATGAAGATTCTTAGGCAGTGCCACAGAGCATGGGGTTAGGAGTTTTAAATGCTGGGCTGAGCCAGCCTCCTAAGACCTGACCACCACAGTGCCTGCTTTTAACAATCCCAGCGAGTCAGCCTTTGAAACAGTCAGTGGAAACTGTCCCTTAGGAACCAGGCCATAGTGAACAAGCAGAAGGCTTTCTGGGGCGTGCTGATTCCTACTATTCCTACTATTGACTGTTCTTGTGGTTTTTCTTCTGCTAGGAACCAGTTTTCTTCCCTGGACATCTTTACTGACCAGTAGAGGTCACCCATTTTTAAAAGCTGCTGTGTTACCAGTGGATCAATGTTCTATGCAAGCTGTGTTCAGTACAGTAGATCACTGGTCTCCATGAGCTGTGTCCAGTCTTGGGAGGGTAGTAATTGTTATTTTGGGGGTGCTTAAATCATACAATTAGTAAGTAGCTGAAGTGGGTTTCAAACCCAGGTCCTTCAGCTCTAGATACATTCTGAGTGGAGTAGCCATACTCTCTTAACAGTCTCTGACTGTAGAACAACTACCTCTATAGAGTACTGTACACTTAAAAGTAGCCCTTCTCAGAAGAGTCAGACTATCACATCTCTTACCCTTCTGCATTCCCCACCTCTAAAAGCAGCCTTCGGTATACTTAGCTTTCACATCCATTTCCAGGGGAATAGAATCCCCTCTGTGAATCTTGAAAGATACTAGTTCGCTGTTCACACTCTCACATTAGTGACTCTAACTCTACTTGTGGATTGGTTCTTATTACTCACTTCCTTTGGTAAATACCAGGGCATCCACCTGAGCCCTTCCAAATGCTTGGTCCTGTGAGCTCTTCCATAAATAACCTCTCTAACTCCTGGTTCCCCGAGGCATCCAGACAGATAATTTCAAAGAAGACCTTACAATCTTCTTTTTTTTTTTTATTGGGGAAGGTGGGCACCTTCATACTCAACAATCTTTGTCAAAATCTTTAGGCCTCTGTAAACCCAGCAATTGCACTTATGGTTATTTGACCCAGAGAAATGGAAGACTTATGTTCACATAAAAATATGTACCTGGATGCTTGAAAGCTTTAGCCTAACAACCAAAAACTGGAGACAACCACCTGCCCTTCAATAGGTGAACAGTTAAACAAACTGTAGTACATCTTCACTGTGGAATACTACTCAGCAATAAAAAAGAAACAAACTATTGATGCAAACAAACTGCATAAATCTCAAGAGAATTATGTTGAGTGAAAAAATAAAAAGCATCACCCAAAGTTACATACTGAATGGTTCCATTGATGTAATATTTTTGAAATGACAGTATTATAAAAGTGGAACACGGCGTAGTGGTTTCCAGGGGATAAAGTGCGGTGGAGGTAGGAGGGAAATATGAGAGACCTTTGTGGTGATAGAAATGTTCCATATCTTGACTATATCAGTGTGAATAGATCAGTGGTTGTGACATTGTTGTGACATAGTTTTGCAAGATGTCACTGTTGGGGGAAACTGGGTAAAAAGTACACAGGACCTCTATTACAACTGCATGCGAATCTATAATTATCTCAGAATAAAAGGCTTAATTTGAAAAATCTGTAGACCTCTTCATCTCTTAGACAAAAGTTAGTATGTATCCTGATTTTTACTCACTTCCATAACTTCTTGAAGAAGCTATGAATAGATTTCTAGTGATTAAGATCTAATTGGGGTCTTAGACATTTTCTTGGCAGGTGTCTAGGAATTAGATCTAATGCATTTGTATAATATTGTTTGAAATCACATAAATCTGCAATTTGATCAAGTTTATTTTCTTATGGGGCCTTGTATACTAAAAGAAAATGGCAGAAGTAATGTCTTTCTGTGGATTTAAGGCAACATTAAGATTATTGGAGGCGCGGGAAGTAAACTTGATAATCTATAATTCTGTCTCCAAATGAGAAGCAAAACTTGTCCTTTTCATAATGTGAACCCTACTATCTTCAGAGTAACCGCCCTGCACCATTTTAGCATTGAAAATTAAAGCCAGATTATATATTAGAGAGAGGTGTTAGTCATGGAGACTTAGCTCCAGGGGTCAGGACAAGAAAGGAGACTGCTTAGGTTTCAGGTGAATCAGAAAATCAATTAAGTGGCTCTGTGATATGAAGCTTGACTAAGTTGGTATTATGCAGTTAACTAGGAAACAGTTGAGGAGGGCAGATGTTTGGTGTGTTTTCAGTCGTCATGTTATTTGCCGACACTATTGTGGGACTTGTCTTCACATACAGTTTGTCAGTCCTAGTCTTCACTTCCAACCCCGCACTGATTGCCCTTATGATACAGCTGACTTACATACTGTAAGTGGAGCTTCATAAAGTACCATTAATTATTTCTCTGCATATGTTTATTTAAAGGGATTTGCTAACAGTGAACATGAATGACCAGTGAAAGGTTGACCTGAATTTCAGCCAGAGCTATAAATTTGGGGTTTAGAGTTTATACCCCACCACTTAGCATGGTACCAGCACTTTTCAGGCACACAGTACATGTTTGTTTAACAAATTAATATTGATTTTTTTATGGTCCATACTGCCTGTCCATGACTCCCTCTGCCACGGTCCGTCAAGAGAAGAATGCGGTGGGACAGGCGGTACTCTGGAAATACCTCTCAGTGCACAGAGGGGGACGCCTCCCTGGGTCCTAGTGAAAGTGTGCAGGTGGATCAGCACCACAGTGCAGGAGGCGCAGGGTCAGCCATGTGGAAAAGACTGCAGATAGATTTGAGCCAGTTTTTCTTTCACACTGAAAAGAGGGGGGATAATCTTAGGGGGAGACCTAGCCACCATGCACATGAAAAATACGCATTCTGAATTCCAGTGACTTAAGCAAATTTTCAGAGCCCAGTTTTTTCTCTGCTGCTGACACATAATTTGATTGTTTTTCTATCTTTCTGATTGTTCTTTGTGGGCAACAGAGGCACTCTTTATTATGCCCTTTTTTCTCCCTTTTCAATACTTTATTACTCGTCAGTTACTTTACTAGCCTTACCCATAGATTTTCTGGGGAATATCCACAGGTCGCAGTAGCTTGTCTGTGTTAAATAGAACAGCAAGTCCTTTTCACACCATACCTTTGTTATAACTGAATTTTCTATTTACTGTAGAACCTTGCCGGTACATTTCTGGATATCCTGTTGAACCATCTTAAGAACTCAGAGAACTGCCAGGTGACCACTGAAAAAAGATCTAATCTTAAGGCTTACGTGAGTATTTTCTATTGTGGCCTGCTTTGAGACAGATTCAGTTCTGTGATCAAAATGAAAAGCTTATCTAACATTGAGCTTATTAAATTTGGGGGTGAGGTTAGCAGTTTCTCAAAGGCACAAGGGAACTCACAAAATACACCACTCTTACTCTTTCTTAAAAAATAAAGAAAGGCTTTTTTTTTTTAAACTCAGCCAACACTCAAAAGAATCCCAGTCTGTAAACCACAAGAATTCTTACTGTGTTTGAATCAAAAACACCAAGTAAATTGTTTTTCAGAATCTATTCATACACAATTTAACCAAAGCACGTTACATCTTGAAAAGCACTTATGTTGTATTTTATTTTTTTTAGAAGTTTGTGATAGCTATGTCTTTTTTAATGATCCAATTCAATGAATGCTGTAGAGGAAAATAAGGAGTTTACCCTCAAAAGAAAATTCTTGACAATTTTACTGAGTAATTTCTTCTCAGTGGGTTAATTTCTTTAAAAAGCATCATATAATGTCATAATCTGAAGTTTATTTTATCTTGATCTCTATAATTCTTAATCATAAGCAGGTTTTCCCTTTATTTAGAATTCTCCTTAACAGCTCCTTCTCACTCTTTATATCTAACAGGTCATTAAGTTGTACTAATTTTATCTTATATATTCCTCTCCAGTATGCCCCCTTCTGTCTGCCACTGCCTTAGACCAAGCTCTCATCATTTGGATTTCTACAATGATTTATTGGGAGAGTGACACAGAGAGATACACATACACACTCTCTCTCCCTCTTCCTCCCTCTTTCTCTCTCTCTCTCTCTCACTGAGAGACCACTGGGGCAGGAAGGTGTCAGTGAAAGATGTGGACAAACTGGCGAAGCTACCCTATTTGGGTGGATGAAATATTAGCGAGGACACAGTTGGGATTGCTGCCTTTGTCCCACCTCTCTATTCCCGGACAGGCCTGGTTTTCCTCATCTCTCAATCTTCAGACAATGGGAGTTTGGTAAAGTCAGATATTTATTTATTTATTAAAGATTTTTTACTGATTTTAGAGAGGAAGGAGAGAGAGAGAAATATTAATGTGAGAGCATAACATTGATTGGCTGCCTGCTGTATGCCCCCTATGGGGAATCGAGCCCAAAATCTGGGCATGTGCCCTGACCAGGAGTCAAACCAGCAGCCTTTTGGCACACAGGGTAACGCCTAGCCAACTGAGCCCCGGGCCAGGGCTGAAGTCAGATGTTTAGATAACCATAGAACAGAGGAGAAAATGATCAGTACTGGAAAAAAGATGGACAATCTGAATTGATTCGTGATATTTCCAATTTTTAAATTGAGTTTATTGCTTTTCTTAGCTTTTCTCTTTCTATTAAAATTTGAAGTTTGTACTATGAACACAATAGTTAGCAGGACCTTACTGAGTGTTGATTTTGCTGTTTTTTTAATGCTGGTTTAGTTAACTTTTGAGCACGAGTTCTGTTTACCATGTAGAATATCTCAAACACAATGAGAAGCAAGTATGTGAAGGAATTACTTTGCTTTAAGTGAGGGTGTCAGCAGTAGTGTGTGTGTGTGTGTGTGTGTGTGTGTGTGTGTAGGTGTGTAGGTGTGTAGGTAGGTAGTTCTTTGAAGTCTAAGCATCGTGTAGTTACATTTTCTGTCAGTGCAATAAAGTTAAGCAGTTACATCTTGCTTAACTTTAAAAATATCTTACTCTTTTTACATGATGAAAATCAAAATAGAGCAGTATAGTAATTTAATTGCAATTTTGACCCAGCAGATATGAAGGAAATAAGACATTTTAATGGAAAATAAAATATAATTGATAACTTTCTTGCTGTTTCTGCTTGGTGAGGTAATTTCCTAGAGGCAGGAGGCCAAGAAGGGTAACAAAAAGGGCTTTTCTAAATGACTTCCTTGTCTTGATTTAGTTTGGCTTCACCAAGTCTCGCCTCATATTTCATTACAGGCACCCACCACATCAGAACAATGTCCTACGTTTTTGTAAATGATTCTTCTCAGACTAATGTGCCCTTGCTGCAAGCCTGTATTGATGGAGACTTTAACTATTCCAAGCGGCTTTTGGAAAGTGGCTTTGACCCAAATATTCGTGACAGCAGGGGCAGAACAGGCCTTCACCTTGCAGCAGCTCGCGGGAATGTAGACATCTGCCAGTTGCTGCACAAATTTGGTGCTGATCTTCTGGCCACAGATTATCAAGGGAACACAGCTCTTCATCTCTGTGGTCATGTGGATACTATTCAATTCTTAGTTTCCAATGGACTCAAAATTGATATTTGGTAAGTTCTCTGTGGTTTTTGAAGTCTGGTCATTTCTTCCCATTAGTCTCCAACCAGAGGGCTAGTCTTGGAGTCTGTTGACTCTGTTTCCTCATTGATCAACTGTAGTGACATGTTCAGAAGGGCATTGAGAACAATGGAACCTTGTTAGGAGAGTGAAGGAACAAGGGGCTGACTTCTGGATTTATGCTGAAGCAGTATAAGTTCTTCTGTGAAAATAGTGGCTCGTTCTGCTATTAATTGTGTGTTGTAATACAAGGGGAAAAGAAGAACTAAAATTTGTTAAATCTATTACAGGCTGGGCACTGTGTTTACTTACGTTAGCTCAAAATGAATAACTTGCAGTAGGTGTTATCTTCGTTTTACAGATAAAATAGTTGTGACAAGAAAGGTTAAATGACTTAACAAAGGTCACATAGCTAGAATTTGAACCTAGTTCCCCCGGATTCCAAAGCTTGTTTGCTTTCCATCACACAATATTCTATGCTCACTTCATAATCTCTGTGGGGCTCAGGGTCCTTTTTATACTGAACATTTTGAAGAAGTGGTTCCCTTTATTTGTTTTAGAGATACTTGCTCGCTTAAGTGGGAAAGATGTCAGGCCACCTTTAAAGCTGAGCTTGACCTTTAAACTGCAGTTACATGTTGCTCTAATGTATTGGTGCTTTAATGTCCCTAAATCTGAGTAAGACAATAAGTGGTTCTACTGTAAAGGTGGTATGTAGTGGGAATTCACTGTAGGATTCAGTGTAAGTTGGGCTCTGTCCTGTTTGGTTGCATTTGTGATTTTTTTTAAGTTATTAGACTTCTAAAAATAAACATTCCATAAGATGTAAATGTCAAATGAAAATGAATCCAGAATTAGACTTTGCATTTAAGTTCTGGGAAGATGCCCTCATTTTCTGTTTCATTCTTACTCACTCACTCTTTGGCCTGTACATTCCTTTTCCTTTTTCCCTAGAAGGGAAAGAAGATGGTTAACTCAGAATTCAGGTTTCAGCTTGGCCAGTGGTTCTGCTCTGGGTTTCATTTTGACTGAATTGGGCCTATATGTTCTTCACTGTCTACACAAGTAGGTACTAACAGTGGAGCGCAGCTACTATGATGACCTCTTTATGACCTTTTTTTAGCAATCATCAAGGTGCTACACCCTTAGTTCTGGCAAAGCGCAGGGGAGTGAATAAAGATGTCATCCGATTGCTGGAATCTTTGGAAGAACAGGAGGTGAAAGGATTTAACAGAGGAACCCACTCAAAACTGGAGACCATGCAGACAGCTGAGAGTGAAAGGTACTTAAGATATAATTTTTTAATGGGCAAGTCACTTTAAGTCCTTGGATCTTTTATGAAAACTTTTTGAGTTTTATATTTATTTGCTTTCAAGTGCAGAGCTTGGATACTTTCTTTGAACTTTATATAGGTCCCTATGGCTCCAGATTACAATTGAGAAGCTGTTCACAGAAAGTACTGTGTGCCCACATGCACGTAATGTTCTGTGCAAGGAAACCTGTGCATCGGCAGCACAGGGGAGAAGAGGTGGTTGAGAACTGATTATGAGGGAAGGAAGCAGAAGTTTGAGAATTTTATTTTATTTTTATTATTTTTTTAAATATATCTTTATTGAGTTCAGAGAGAGGAAAGGAGAGGGAGAGAGAGGGATAGAAACATCAACAACAAGAGAGTCAGTGATCAGCTGCAGCCCGCAACCCGGGCATATGCCCTGACCGGGAATTAAACCCTGATCACCTGGATCCTAGGTCGACGCTCAACCGCTGAGCCACACTTGGCTGGGCAGGAGTTTGAGAATTTTAGTATAGGTCACAAAAGGAATGGAATGTCAGAAACGCAGAGAGAAAGATAAGTAAGGGTAGGAACTTGGACAGTATTAGAAAACACCAAGAAGGTAGTTTCAAGGATAGGGAAGTGGACTGCTGAGGAAAAATAAAACAGTAGGAGAGAAAGTAAGACAAAACTTAACACGTACACAATTCAGTAATGTGAAAGTGACTTTTACTTGAGTTGGAACAAATGAAATTTGGGCTCCTGTGAATAATTGAAGCTAAGATACAGTGACTGACTGGGTCTTAAATCGCTCATCATTTCTCATCTAGAAGCAGTTCAGAACTCAGTTCAGGGAGCTCTGAAAAGGCAACAAATCATTTTTCTCCTAGTCTTACTGGCTCAGCAGATAAAGTCAGTAGGCCAGACTTGGTTGTGCTAGCATGTAGTTTCATTGACTGCATGGAGTTTAAGCCTTCCAGATTATACTAGGTAAAAGGGACCACGAATTTATAGTCTCCTCCCAAAATTTTCAGTGGAATATATTTCAGGGGCCCTCATCAGCTGTTGACCCAGTAGCTGATTGTTCAGGTTTGGATTTAGGATCATATAGATCACCTAGACCATCAGGCTCATTATTTGAGTCTAAATGAAATCCTCTCTATTTTTCATAGTTCACCCTGCAATTCCTTTGTACCCATGATTGCTTTCCTCCCTCTTCACGTGCTGGCTGGTATATTCATTGGGGACCATTAATTCCAGTCTGAAGCTTAGGACTGTTTTGTTTAGATACTTCAAATATTCATTACTTTCCAAATAAATTAAAGAGTTTTACTTCTAGAACAGGGCATGCTTCTCATGAATTATCACTGAAAGCTGGTAAGTAGGTAAAATAAGCAGGAAGTCAAGATGCATTTGCAGCCCTTTGCTCTCACCTGGGTACTTTGGATGACTCAGAATGCCATAAGCAATTTAATAACGTTATCTATTATTTGTTACAGACTATGTTCTTCCAAAATAACTTGACATTTATTTTTATCTTTCTAAAAAATAGTAGTAAATTACTTTAAGCTTTTTTACCATGAGAAATTTCTAAGGATATGTTTTTGGTTTTGCTAGGTAAATTTTTGAGGCCTTGCTTGGTATATTTTGTTAATAGCTAGTTTTCTTGGTACCTTTTTATTACAATTGAGAAGCTATTTTTAACTCAGTGTGAAATAGTCCCCTTTTAACTTTAAGGTTCACATACTGTATTAAATGATTTTTTAGATTTGCCCATTTTTGCTTATTTTCATTAGCACAAATTCTCAAATTAAGAATCTTCATTTTAAATTCTTCTAAATTTAAAATTACCAAATGTGTTTTGGTTTAGTATCTGATAGAGACAACTCATTTGACCTACTTTAAGACTCCTGCTTGGGACTTTTTTGTTAGAAAAGGACTTTTAACTTTGACTTTGCTAGATACAAAACCAAGAGGCATAATCATGGTTTAGCAATTTACAGTTTAAGGTAGTTGTCCAGATACATACATCGGTACATAAGCGTGTGAGATATATATGTGCATATATCAGTTTTCTTTCTTTATGTGTTATAAAGTTGCTCTTTTCCAAATAACATAGTTTATGTTGTTTTTGAAATGGGTGAAATGTGTTGTTGCATGCCCATTTATTTTTTTTGGGGTCTTCCACAGCGCCATGGAAAGCCATTCTCTCCTCAATCCCAACCTACAGCAAGGCGAAGGAGTTCTCTCCAGCTTCCGAACCACATGGCAGGAGTTTGTAGAGGATCTGGGCTTCTGGAGAGTTTTGCTCTTAATCTTTGTCATTGCTTTGCTGTCTCTTGGCATTGCCTACTATGTGAGTGGGGTGCTACCCTTTGTGGAAAACCAGCCTGAACTGGTGCATTAAAGGAGCTCATGGGAAGATGGGGCACGTGCCCGTTTCCTGGCTTCCAGTGTTTCGCAGTTTCTCAAAATTGTTCTCTTAGTGTAAGGCAATGAGAGCTATACATGTTTTTCTTTTTGCATTTTTGCATATTGTAATCCTTTTAGAATGACGTGTTCATTTGAACTAACTACGTACTGTAGTCAAGTATACTGCATCCTAAAGCTACCTCTGACTCAACCTGACTTTTTAGGAACGCACAGCCTTGTTTAATAAAATGTGGAAATGACGAAAGAAAGATAAGGGAAGGTCTTGCCCTAGAAACCTAATCCTAATGCAGGACCATCTGAAGTGAAGTGTTCAGAAAGAAGAGGGTTTCCTTGTATGAGTAGTTTTGGTTGGTGGGTTTTGTTTGTTTATTTTTGCAAGAGCCCTTTTTCTCTATTTACAGTCTGGAAACAGAGGAAACAATGAAATATTCAGCTTAAAACTTGAAGGGCTTTTTTCAAACCCTTCCTGGTAAGTCAGTATTATTGGAATCTGATTTTTTTTAATACTTTCAAATCTAGTCCCAAACAAAATAGAACTTTTGAAAGTGAGCTATATTTTCTTCAAAAGTGATTGATTTGATCTTATATTTATTTGTTTTTAGGATAATTTTCTTTTGTAAACTGCTTTGCTTGTTGTTAATAGCTGTGAAATGTGAACTTGAGGAGTTCATTTTGTTCACTTTTCAATTTTCCCTAGTGTTTATTTCAAAGGTGGTCTAGTCATCAGTAATATAGTCAGAAAACTTTTTCTATTCAATAGTTAGGGGAAAATAATGCTGATGTTTAATGGTCACTAATTTTGTAGTGCTATTACTATAGTGAAAATTTCAGTGCTGTAAGCTTGCCATGTTGTTACAGTTGTGTCATAGTGTGTAATTATTTCATTTTATGCACACTCCTGTTTAGAAGCCCTATAGAATTGTCATGACAATTTCATCCATGTCAATAATTCTCTGATGGCAAGAATGGATGAAGTATTTCTGAGTTAACAGCGCTGAACACGATTGTGCTGGGTGTTATAAATGCTTTATGAATTGTAATATTATGTAAATTGGAATCTGGCTCCCAGACTGTATTACAGCATTCAGCAGTATGTTTGAGGGCCTCTTTTGTTAATGATTCTATTATGTATAAATCACATTCTTGGGTTATTAAAAAAGAATATGAAGACTTGATAATTATTCATTGAGTATAGTCAGAAAACTAATGAAAGAACTAATGGTTTTACTTTTTACAACAAAGACATCTAAGCTACTGCTAATTGAATTGTTGCTAGAATTAGAACTTACCGTTTAGAATAGAAGTGGTATCCCTGTGGTTGTTTGCTGCTGGTTCTCCCTCTCGTATTTGCATGTCCAGGATTGAGGAGGCTTTATCCCCTCTAAAGAGCTGCTTTAAAGTTCCTGGTTCACCTGGCTGCTGCAGTACCGGCTCGAAGTCTTGCTTTTTGATTAGATACAAGCAAAACATCTTACTCAGTGTAAATACCATAAAAACAGTGTATTTTAGAATGGAGAACACTAGAAGTCAATGTATATTCATAATGAATGCTGTGGAATTAGCTTTACATTTGTATGTAAATCTAAACAGATATGCAGAATTGGTTAAATATATATGTATATATGTTGCCTTTTTTATGTTTCCTTTAAGTTCTGATTTCTTTGTATGCTATTCTCTGCATTCAGAATTCAGTAACACTACCAATAAATGTATTTATAATCTCTTAATCACAGTCCATTTGCGTAGTGTATCATAGTTTTTCTTTTAATTTAAGGTTTTTTCCAAAAAATGGGTTGCAATTGGCTATTTAAAAAACAAAGAGTTTTTTTTCAAACCTGGTTAAATAGGTATGTCCAGTTTATATAGGTTTGCTTTAGAATTGCTCTGAAACGAATTTGGGTGAATTGCTTGTAGATTTATTTATTTATTTATTTATTAAATATATCTTTATTGATTTCAGAGAGAGGAAAGGAGAGGGGGAGAGAGAAATAGAAACATCAATGATGAGAGAGTCATTGATCGAGCCCGCAACCCGGGCATGTGCCCTGACCGGGAATCGAACCCTGATCGCCTGGATCCTAGGTCGACGCTCAACCGCTGAGCCACGCCCGGCCGGGCGAATTGCTTGTAGATTTAAAAGTGATAATAACTGCGATGATTAATCACCTCCCAGTGATATAAGTCACTTTACATGCCTCATTTTGTTTCATCCTTATGCTCCGCCCTATCCCCACTGTGTTTCCCGTTTTTATAAGATGAGGGAACTGACACAGGAGGGATAAGTAGCTTGTCCAAGGTCAAAGCTAGGACACATAGTGGAACAGGTTTTCCAGATTTTTTTTTAGTACATTTTACTGATTTCAGAGAGAGGAAGGGAGAGGGAGAGAAACATCAGTGTGCAATTGGTTGCCTCCTACACGCCCCCCATCTGGGGCCGGGGACAAGCCTACAACTGAGGTCCATGCCCTTTGGCCGGAATCGAACATGGGACCCTTCAATCCGAAGGCCGACGCTCTAACCACTGAGCCAAACTGGCTAGGGCTCTGTGTGCTTTAATAGTTAACCAAGGCACTGACCTGTTCCTTAAGCTGACACTGTCGTAAACCCTGATCTCTTCTTGTTGATGACCAGGAGAATCACTACAACCTATCTTCTTCCCTTGATAAGCATTTTAAGTGAGAAATCTTTTCACTTCTCAAGGAAAAGTCTGCATGGAATAACGCACTGTCCCTAGGAAGCACCTTACACCACGGGACGCTGCGAGGGAGCCAAGCAGAAGGTTCCCCGGTCTCCCTAGCAGGCGCTGTGCTACCGCGTTTCCTCTGGCCGGTCGCTACTTTTTCCTATTAGAACAACTATTTCTTCAACCCCAGTGTCTGCTGCGTACTTTCGGTTCAAGTGGGGCGGTTAGTGGCTACAGGATCCTTTGTAAACTGAAGCCCGGGGTTAACAACTGCCCTGCTTGATGGTGTTTACAAGGCCCTTCTCCGCCTGCTGCTCTGAGGTGCCAGAGGCGTCTGCGCTGTCCACTGAGCTCTTCAGTGTTTCCTGCGTGTCCCTTCCCACATCGCTGGGAGCATTTCTAGAAAGGAAATGAGAAATGTGTGAAAACAGGATAACCCACAGCCGGGGTGACTACGCTCACTATTTCTGCTCAGGAATCACTCCTTTAGGAGCGTGACGTGGGCTCTCCTCCCCTTTCCCCCCAAAAGTTTTGTTTTCATTTATTATTTTTCCATGTCCAGATGAGTCTGAGGATCAGTTTAAGAATAAACTCTGACCCACAGTAATTCCAACTAGAAATATGCAGTAGTAAATCTACTCCTGAGATTTTTTTTAAGTGGATAAATTTTTTATTTGCTGAAACCATTACAAATAAATGTGTGCACATTTTATTTTATGAGTAAATATATTTCAGCAAATTTAAATAGTTTTGTCTTTTTTTTTTTTTTTACAGTGCCCATGTATGTGCTTTTAAAATTGTATGGTATGCAATGTTAGCTCTACAGAATGCTTCTGTGTCTTTGCATGTTGTCCACAAACCAAATTCCTTTTGGAAGTTCAAGAATAATCGCGAACCTAATTCTCTTGAATTTCATGATGTACGTTGCAAGTACTGAGGTGTGGCACTGCAGAGTCAGTTATTTCTTCCTATAATTGGGCTATGAGAAGGTTATTCTCTGTCACAATCAAAATTAATATTCCCTTTCTTTGGGGATTAATTTCTAAATTCAAAGACTCTGGGTCAGAGTTGGCTGGACTGTCTCACTGAAATTTCAGCCCCTAAGAAACAAAAATAGGTTTTGAAATAGTTTCTAGGTCACTGGCACAGAAAGCTGGCAAAAAGCTGTAACTGACTTTGGATAGTTCTAGTTAGGACAGTCCATCAGCACAGGCTGTTCTTTTGGCCTTTGATTCAAGTTTAGGAGAAAATAAAATGTGGGGATCCCCAAATTTACTCTATAGTTTTAGGTTTGGGTGACTCTCCTTTATTTTAGTAGATCGTCTGACCTGGGGGAGGGAAAACACATTGAATCAGATAGAAGTTCTGTATTTCACCTCACTGAGCTGTCCACATTTATTATATTTATTTAAATTCCATTTTTGGATCAGCCAGTTTAGGCTGTGGTTATACTGAAAAACATGCAGACTTGGAGCTCATAGCTTCATGCTCTACTTAATATGGACTGACCGTGGTAAATAATTAAAGCTTTCTGAACCTCTGTCTTTGTCTGTAAAACAGAAATAATACCCACCTCATAGATTTAAGGAATGAAAATTACTAATCTGAGCGCTGTGCGTGTGTGTGTATGCATATGCGTGCCGGGCCCTACAGGGCTTATCCTGTTGTTACCCCCATTAAGAAAACAAGGCTTAAAAAGTTCAGTCTGTCTCCTGAGGTCATGGAGTAGACAGAACAAGAGTCTGCCTAACGAGGTGTTGTGGGGAGGTGTTGTGGGGAGCCGTTAGGACATGGCGCTTTCTCCTGTTGAGTCAGCATATCTGACTGCCTGGCGCTTTTAGGTGCTCAGGATAAGTACTCCCTCCTTTGTCTTGGCAGAGTAAATTGCGTGATTTATTGACTTAAGTCTAGCATTTAATGTGTGAATGATTTACACATCACACAATTTCTGATTTGCTAAGGAAGCTGTAATAACTGCTTTTTAAAAAATATATTAAAATTTTTTTTTCCAGCACCCCAAGGGAAGCACACAAGCACACAACTTGGTCTTCCTACCTAGCCATTTACCGGGTTCATATGAAAACAAAATAAGCCAGGCAGGCCTTCTCACAGACACCCTCCGTGACTGGGAGGCAGAACGGCCAGGTGGCTAAACGTGGGCCTTGGAGGCAGGCAGACCCGGCCTGGATCCGAAGCCTACAGTCATGGTGAGGTGGCCTTGGGAGGTTCCACCACCTCGCCCCTATTCTCAGGTTTCTCGTCTGTTAAATGAGAACAGTAACACTCAGTAGAGGCTCCAATGAAATAATGTGTGTAAAATGCTTAATGCAGGGCCTGGTAACTCTCAGTTACTAGTGTAATGGTAGGGTCACTTCCCCTTTAGGCCAACCACTGTCTTGAAGTGTGACAGCCCCCCAAAGACAGGGCAGCTCCCGTTCTCTTGTAATCGGTCAGGCCGCAGGCACTGGCTGGTTGGCTTCCAGCCAGGAAGACTGGATGGCTTCCGCTCTTTGAGTTTTCATTAAGTAACACCTTAATTATTAGCTTAAAGGACATTGACCACAGTCCCTGCCAGTCTCCCGGAAGCCTCCCCGCGGGAGACGGAAATCATTGGAGGGGCTCGGGAACACTGAGGACAGAAGCGGGCCCCGCTGCCTGGGTGCACGCACTCTTACTGGCCCAGTGCATCTCTAGGTAACAGTGGGGTTTCTACCCTCACGTTTGCAGAGGAGGCAGTGAGGCTCGGCAGCCTTGCAGGCCTGGCAGAAGCTGAGTCCACGCCACCTGACCTCCAGTCGGTGCTCTCGGCACTGCTGCCATCTCTCGCCTGAGCATCGGAGGCCAAGAGAGGAGGGACACAGACACCAGTGTCCCTGACAGGTGGGGCTGTCCTGGTCACAACTGTGTCGAGGACCCGCATCTCTGGAGCTCTGAGGGAGAGGAAGCGCAGAGACCTCCCCACCAGCACCCTCGGGTCCAGTCCCGCCCTCAGGCCACCCAGCACGCCTGCGCCCCGCCCCCCCAGCTCCTGCATGGAGCTCAGAGGACCACCCCTCCTCTGCCAGGACAGGGTGACCTCCACAAGGCAAATCACACCCCTCCGCTCTTGAGCAAAAGGCTGTGAAGGCGTCTGAAATGACAACTCCCTGGTGGTGGCGTCACGCTGCTTTGTCTCCGTGGACTGTGGGGATCCAATTTCAGTCGTGAAGAAAATGGGCTGGGGAAAAAGTTACTTCATTCGGAAAATTCCGAGAAGCCATAAACAGCCTGCAGCTGGTGAAGGCAGACAATGGCTTCGGTGGAAGAAGCCCTCCGGGGAGAGGGCAGAGGGGGGAGGGCAGAGGAGAGGCCGGCCCCAGGCCCCTCGGCCCGCCCCTCCGGCGCTGCTCCCGGCCCCCCACAGCCCATACCCAGTGGCCAGCTGGCTGGGGACCTGTTTTCCCTGGTTTTCATCCTACACGGTCTCCGGCAGCCCATCCCTGGAGCATCCGGCACCTCCCTCTCGTAGATGGTTGGTTGACCTGTGATTCTGAGTTGCTGTTAAAGAAAAAGAGAAATAACATCTTGTTTTTTCATTCCTTTCTCACTTTCTAGCTTGCAATCTCTCCTAAACCCTTTTAATTTTGTGCTCTTTTCTTTTTTCCCTCCAGTCGGCACAGTGAGAAAGGGAGAAAACAGGATGAAATTCTATTTTATTTTTCATGAGAAACTGGAGTATAATTCCCAGTCCAGATCTTCAGCGAGTCGGGAAGGAGTGACCACTGCCAGGAAAGACCAGGGCACGGAGCAGGTCCGGGGGCAGGTTTCCAGATGTCGCGTCCCTCTGCCCGCCTCGCTCTCTCCCTCTCTCTCATAATAAGAAAGCAATATGGCAAGATTACAGACCTTTGGAAGACAGGAGAAAGTCTCCTTACCCCAGCCCCTCCTCCCACCCTGTGTCTTCCTAGCACCAGGTTCCTCGGACACAGCTCCTCACTCTGTCTTCCCTGTCCCCCCAATCTCCAGCTTTGCTGGGGAGCCCCCCCCATGTTCCTCTACAAGTCTGGCCT